TACAGAGACCTGGTGCACTACGTGCCACAAGGTCCCCAAACGACCCACCGCAGGTTTTGAATTCAGAGTTGTCCTTCTCCTAGACCAGTTGCCATCCAAGGCTATAGAACCCAGTCTGCCCTGCTATTTACCCATAGCTGGAGAGAGAAGAAATGCCTGTACCATGGAAGCTAATTGTTTAGTGGAAAATATATTTTATTAGGCTAAAAGAAGGGTAGGAAATAAAGTTAAGGAAGAGTATATATAGAATCGGGTTATGACTAGAGTCATCCTTTCACAGGATTTAACGTTAATCGCTTTTTGCTCGGTTTAAGCAATCTAAGCTTCGAGTACTTTACTGAGTAAGTAGGCTTGCCTTCAGGCCTTATTTTTTCAGTATTGTCATTTTTATTCGAGATTGTATCTGGACAAAACTTTTAGGTTTTGGCAAGTTGTCCGTCAGTTCCAACAGCGGCTTTTATTTTTCTTTAAAATTATGTGTGTGTGTAAACTTTTAAATATCAATTTTATCCAGACTTCGAAGTTTCTAGATAGAATTTCCAGTCTTCAGATGGTGTAGTTTTAAACGGTATTTCCAATTATTTTTTCAATTTGTTCCGCGTCTTTTTCAATCGGCTTTTTTTAAAAAAAAACTTCGTTTTGTACACGTGCGTATTCATGAATTTAAAGTTCTTTTACATACGCACGTTCATGAAATTTTGCTTTTCTTTATATATAACGGCTCACCAGAATTGAGGAAATATTTCACTGAGAATAGACTTAATGACGCCTTCACTCCAGTCGTTAAAATATATTTGCCAACATTCATCACACATGATTTTATGACATTTCACACATTTTTTATTCAACATTATTTACATTATTCGAACTGTTGTCCTCATCTTTGTTGACATATTTATCACAACGTTTCAGTCGTTGTATGTAATTTCGAGCTGAACCCTTTATTTCGCTCTAGTTCCACGTGCCATATCTAATGGATGTCAGTTATCAGTTATCTCCTCTCCAAGTTCTCCACTGCCTTAACCAGGTATTGAACTTACAACTCTTTGGGTTCTGATACTGGATCTAACCAACGCCTTTAACCCCTGTGCCATGTTTTTTGTGAGATTTTTGTGGCCTAGCATATGTGCTGATTCCTTAAGTTTACGAATTTTCCAATGATGTTCTTTGTCTATCATTTCAACCTGATTTCCATTTTTTCTCCATATGTGATCAGCCACGCCTGATTTTCCACTTCCCCTCGTCTTACAGCTTTCTGGTGTCCTTGAAGCCTTACCTTTAGGGAGCGGCCTGTCACCCCTTTATATTTCTTTCCGCACCTGCACGGGATGGCGCACACAGTCTTTAGTCATGTTCTCCTCCTAGGTGGTGTCTTACTTAGGAGAGATATCTGTGAAGTGTCGTCCAGCTTTTGAAGGTTGTCCTGATGTAATATGGACCGCAGATCCTTTGTATTTTCTCCGATAACCCCTTCAAATAAGGCAGGCAGACTGTTTTCTGAGTGTTGTTGTTCTCCTCTTGTACCAGCCTATCCCAGTTTATTGGGGCTGCTTCTATGTACCCAGGGTAGTTGTTACGTTCAATATATACTGACCAATTCTTTATCTAATATCTTTGGGTAGCCACGTGACTTTTTCTCGGTGCTGTAAGCAACGGGCGATCCCTTTCTTTACGCTGTATGAATTGTGGGAGTTGAAATTGAGGTACTGTCCGATGAATGTTGGTTTGCGGTATACGGATGTCTTGAACCCATGCTCTGTTCGAGATATTAGAGCATCCAGGAATGGGAGTGTGTTGTTACTCTCTTTCTCCATCGTGAACTCTATCGAAGGTCTTACTGTACTGAGTTCACCTGGTGCAGTAAAACCTGGACATCTTCCTGGTGTGGTCAGAGTATGAAGGTGCCATCTAAGTATCTTAACCAGAAAGTTGGCCTTATATAGATTCTAATGCCATTTTCTCAAAGTATTCCATGTATATATTCGCCATTGCTGGTGATAATGGCGAGCCCATTGCCAAGCCATCATCCTCTCAATATATGTGTGATCCCATTCCGAAGTGTGTTGTTTGTGAGCAGAAAGTCAACATCTCCATCAGGTTATCTATTGGAATACTGGCCTGTTCTTCTAGGGATGAGTCAGAGGCCAATCTGTCTGACTACTGAGAGTGCCTCCTCCGTGTGTACCTTGGTGAACAAATTCACGACGTCTAAGCTCACCATCTGGTTAGATAGGATGTGGGCATCTTTAATTATTTCCACAAAGTGGGCGAAGTTTCGGACATATGAAGGAGATTTTCCGATCAATGGGTCAATTATATCTACAAGGAAGCGACTCAGAGGTTGGCACATAGAGCCTTGGCAACTAACAATCGGCCTAAGCGGAATACCATCTTTGTGAATCTTAGGGTGATCGTATATGTGAGGTAGCCTGGTGTAACGCTGCGACAACTGCCTCTACGTCTTAGGTGCGAAGTGATTCTTGTATCTGTTTGCGTTCCGTTTTCATTGTAGGATTCTTTTTTACTTTGCTGTAGCTACCATTACTAATGAGGTCTTCCAGCTTTCCTGTATAATCTGATTTGTCCATCACTACAGTTTTTTTACCTTTGTCAGCCGGTAGTATGTTATCGTTCCTCTGTAGGAATTTGTCAGCCTCTCCAGCTTCGTGATGTTTGACTTAAGCGGCTTGGCTTTCTCCAAGGTCTGTATCACCCTCTCTCTCAGTTCATCTGCCTGAGCCTGAGGGAAGCCTAAGGCCACTTCCTCATTTCTGGCAATGATGTCCAAGTATGGCACTCGCTTGATGGTTGTGGTGAAGTTGAGATCATTATTTAAGGCACTCAGCTGATATTGGCTGATGTTGACTACTGCTTTCACTGGTGGGTGATGAACCTTGTGCCTCACCTTCTGATCTTTCAATCTATTTAATTTTTTTACTTAGCGAGCCTTGACTACATCGAATTCATGTTTGAAGGATTTATCTAGGTCATTTTGGATCCTTCTTCGGTCTTCTTCATTGGTAATTCTGTTGAAGAAATTCTCGAGCCTCTGGGAGATATGAGCTTGTAGTCTCTGTTTTATCCAACGATTGTACTGGATTCTTTCTCGGACAAGTGTGTGTCCCGCCTTTTCTGCGACGAGACAGGCTCTCCTTGAATTGACGGGAAGTCTTGGTGCCAAACCTGAAGGAATGAGTTGTAGGTCTCTGCATCGGTGAAGGAATGTCAGATGGTTCGATATTCGTGCCAGTTTCTGGTAGTATTTTTCAATTTGTCTCCATATTTTCGGTGTACTGGGTCCGTACTGATCCTTTCGTATATGTCTATATTTTGGAGATGAGGTATTATGCACACTATTTATCATTATATATATATATGTATCTTTTACCGAGAGAGAAAAACACCAGAAAGTTGTAACACGAGGGGAAGTGGAAAAATCAGGCGTGGCTGATCACATATGGAGAGAAAAGGGAAATCACTGCCCTCTGCGGGATCAGGTTGAAATCATAGACAAAGAACATCATTGGAAAATTCGTAAACTTAAGGAATCGGCACATACGCTAGGCCACAAAAATCTCCTGAGCCGACCAAGCATAGAAATGAATACAATATGGGAACCAGTAATAAAGAGAGCTTGAGAAAAGCAACAGTAACAACGAAAATTGCAATATGAGCTCTGGTAAAAAAAATGCAATGATAACACCAAAAATTACAATATAAGCACTGATAAAAATGGTTGCTGAAGACATTAAGTTTATAAGTCCCAGAAATTCATATACAGATATCCTCAAGGACACATCGCACAGTAGATAAAGGCGTTGGTTAGATCCAGTGACAGGATCCAAAGAGGTGTGAGTTCAATACCTGGTCAAGGCAGTGGAGAACATGGAGAGTGGGAATTAAAAGGAGATAACTAATATCCGTTAGACATGGCACGTGGAACTAGAACAGTCTACCCTAGCGCTCGAAATAAAGGGTTCAGTTCGACATTCGTTGTGATAAATATGGCAATAAAGATGAGGACAATAGTCCAAATAATATATATAGTGTACATAATACCTCATCTCAGAAATTTAGACTTTTTTTTTATTCAAGTCTCTTAAAAGGCTCAATGTAGAAACAGTATTTAGTCACACCTCCCATGAGGGCATCATGTGACACAAGGCCGGTTTAACGTGGGATCTCCGAGCCCGTGGGTTCGGCCAAAAATGTAGAAAAACGTACCAATATCCTATTGAGGGCTTGGCCAAATAAAATCACTATATTAGGTCACTTTCCTTTACTCCTGGTGGGACCGGCCTCATATCTGTGACAGTTATTTACTTATCGGTTTCAAATAAATGGAAATACTTTCAAGGCAGATAGACAAGCCCAAACATTCCGAATATTGACAATCTTTCTAACTCTTCTGTAGTGTATGAGACGATTGCTGGCATACGAGATTTACTAGCAAACATGGTTCACACCAGTTCCCTAAGTACTATTGTCTTTTCCACAGAAACACGCCTCTCTAAGAAATAATCTTTTCAATTTTTTTATATCACTATCAGTTAAGCGGTCCTGATCACAAATATCTTTTTCATAATTTAAAAAAAAATAAGAGTCGTCCAATAAATTCAACATGATTTGTTAATACGAATGCCTTAGTTCTTAAGTTTTGTCGGCACACGAGACATTACATGCAGTTTCGCCTTGAAAACAAATTTTTTCCCCCGAGACGCCACATGCAATTTTGGTTTTCGTTAATATAGGTTCATCGATATTTTCCAAGTTTTTTCATTAATTGTAGTAATGTCGCTACCTGTGTCCAATTAAAGTTTTATTTCAACATTATTCATCTAAACTTTTCTGTTTTGGGTCTCATTCAAATGAGTTGTCAATGCAACTTTTACTTTCTTTAAAAAAATCTTACATTTTTCTTTGCTTTGCAATAACTTTATCTATAACCCGGTTTTCTTCACTGGAAACAATTTATTTTTGAATAGGCAATCCATCTTAAAATGAAGTCCTTCTCAAGCGTAACACGAGTTCGAGGCAGTCATTTTTTTTGTCCCTTGGTTGCACTGCCTGCGAGTTGCATCATATCCCTTTCTACAACTTTTGCAGAATCAAATTTGACATTCTTCTGCCACTGTCTGTAAGGTTAATATTGGGTCCTGTTCAAATTTGTGAGAATGCGTAAACGAATTTCTGCACGAATTTCTAGCACCAAAATTAAACATCTAAAACATATCAGGAGATATTTCGTTAGGTTTAGATGTTTCACATTTGTGATATTTAAGAATTGCCAGTGTGTATGAAACGGGACTTTCATTGAAAATTTTAGACAAAATTAACAGTTTCATTAAATGTAGTATTTCCTTTTAAGTAAAATGTAATTACAATGTTTTTCGTGACTTTTCGACACAATTTCCTTAAAAGTAAACGTCTTTCCAACCCCCAATCTGGCCAGTCGTGGCAATCATTTTTGAAAATTATTTTGTACCTTCTGTAATACGACGAAAACCTTTGGTGTTATATAAAAATTCGCCAATGGAGTTTGTGACCGTGTCAGGCATAAATGAAGCTGTAGTACTAGTTTCATTTGACATCCTTCTGTGAGGTTTCAATTTGTGTTCGTTGAACAAAAGATTAGTGAAGAAATTGCTTAATCACACGAGGGGTATGGATTATTAATAATGGCGAATACCGCCGCTCCGTGCGACCCACTTTGCGACAACTGTTCCTATGACCAGATGTTCCGCTGATAACGAATGGACGAGTCTATGTTCAATAATTAGTGTAGAGAAGGTAGGACGTCTTTCTATAAATACATGTATTTCTGATTTGGTTTTTATTAGACAGTAGTTCAGTTTTCCAAAGTGTCATTAAAAAATTAGTGAAATCTCTTATTTTCCTAATAATTTCAAAATCAGGATTAATTCCTCTAATATTTGTAATAAATTTTCACAAATAACTATAAAAATAATTATATATTTCTTTAAATGTGTAGAATCTTCCTCTTTCTGCTTCTCTCTCTGCTTTTCCTCTTTCTTTTTGCTTTCCCGTCGTCGACTTTTATTTTTATTTGTTCAAATGTAAGAATTGGATATGCAATAGCAATATCTACAAACCGTCGGGATTTATTTTTATATTAACCTTTTTAATTATTTTATATATAATTTTGCATCTCTTTTTTTTATTATATACTTTTTTTTCATAATATTTAAATTATAATTCTATATATAGATGGTTTGTTTACGAATTGGAGCATAAAAGTTCTTGGCCTGACCAAGACAATTTTTCAAAAAAATTTTGGACATTGTTATTTACATTATTTCCATTTAAACTAATGTCTTTATCTTTGTTATTTTCACAATATTTAAGCCGTTGCGTTATCCATGTTGAGGGGCCGTGGCTGTGATGTTGTGAAGTCAGACGTAGAAGGAACGCATGTAAGGTTCAGATACTCCTGGTGTCCGGGCCCAACTACATAAAAAGGTTGGACTTTGATTAAGTCCAAAGAAGAAGGCAAAGAAAGCAAACAAAACACAAGACCGATAATATATGTATATACAAATATATATTAATAACAAGTTACAATACATGGAAACAGTACAAAGGACGAAGTGTGTGTGAATATTCTGTATGTGCGTGCGTGTGTGAATATTCTGTATGTGCGTGCGTGCGTGTGTGTGTATTGCGCTTAGCGTGTTTCCACGCTATTCCTTTGTTAGCGCCTACATTTCGAGGTTGATAGCTGAAATCCTGAAGGAAAAAGAGATAGAGGCGAAGGGTCAGCGGCTATTTATAGCCAGGGAAGAGAGACCCCTGGTGAAGGGGTTAACGGACTGAAGGAGGAGTTAACTCCGACAAGCCTTTCTCATGTATTTGACGATCCGGATAACCTTCAAGGAACTCCAAATTGAACCCTTTAGTTAATGTCTAGGAATATGTTGTCTTGTTCTTATTTAGTACTTCTTAGGTATTGTTCATCTTGTTTCCACTGAGTCTAAGTCTGGCCTGCCTGGCCCAGATATTGAACTCACAAATACTATTCCACCTTATTCACAAAGGCACCTTTTAGGTAACTGTCCCGTGGGAAATTGGTTGTGCCGAAAACGTTTCAGCATTTTTTCATAGATGAATGTGCCAAGCTAATCTATATATTATTATTAAGGAATGGTGGCGGAGGTAGCTTCTTTTTCTATGTTCGTGTCTCTTCAGGACGTTGACGATCATGGCTCTCCACAATGTCCTTTGTAGCTCTTAATAAATTTTGCCTTTTTGTTATCTCTCCTAAACCTTGCTCAGTTATGTATTGCATTGTTTTCTTCTGTCCCTCCAATCTGTCCTGTGAATATCAAATTTACTAAACCCTCTTTCCTCGTTATGTACCCTAGAAATTTCAACTGTCTCTTCATGATGTTAATTATAAGCGTCCTTTTTGTTTCCATTTCTTCAAAAATTCGTCATTGCTCACATGTTCGATCAGTAGCATTCTCATCATCCTTCTGTAGAACCAAATTTCTGTTGCTTCAAGTAAGGTTTGTATTTTTGCTATTTCACGTAATCCATGTTCTGTCAAACATTTTTACTACACAATGCGCGACTTGCCTTCCCTATATCCTGTGAGTGGCCCAATTTTTTAAACCTTCTTTAATGTGCCCTAAAAATGTTCAGGTGTCAATTTTTTCTCATGTTATTTTTTCTAAAAATTCGTCGTTGCTCACATGTACAGAGTGCGACAGAAATCCCTCCCACATAATGGTAAGACATTAGTTAGTTTTAGCTAGATGAAGATACCATTGCGGCAAATGTCTTACTATGTGCGATGTATTCATGCCACACCCTGTATTACAACTGCCGTTTCGATCCTATTTTTTTGTGTCAGTAGGAATTCAGCCTCGAATCACGTTTATTTTTATTTACTGATTTGGTAGAATTATTGCGCGCATCCATTATTTTTATTTGGTTCGGTGAATTTGTTGTCGTCACTCGAGTCATACATACGCAGTCAAGGAGATCCACTTATGTTCCCATAGAAATATAACCACATTTAGTGAGCCACATTGTTTCGTTGACGTTTTACATGTGTAGATGCTTGCTTGTCATATATTTTGTTTTTGTCATTATTTATTCACATACTTTACATAAGTGACGACCGAACAAGCTTAAAGCGAAGAAAAGCGTAGCGTCTGGAAGGAGGATTCTTCTTTTTTGTGTCCAGCACGAACTTTTAAAAAGACTACTTACTACTTGCTTGATATTTTTTATACGTCGGGTATGGTATTATTAATGTTCTTAATTCACTACTTCTTTTTTTTTTCTGTCCTATTTTGAACTACAACGTTTTACACTACAGGCAACTATTTTCTTAGTCTTATAAATTAAAAGTTAAAACTTATTTTTAGTTGATGTTTAGTAATTTCACTACGACACTGTAGTGTAACTCCCTCTTTTCTTTTTGACAACTGATTCTACACAGTTAACTTCATAATTTATTTTAAAGATAAGTAATGTACCGTATTTAAAACTTTAACGGCAAATACAAAAAAAAAGTTTTTTTACTAAAACAAAAAATAATTTTTAATTGAAGAAAATCCTTTTTAAATGTTTTAATGGAAGAATTAAGGTAAGGACAATTTATTTCAGAAAAAATATTTTTCTTAAAATCAAAGTTCACCATTCCATGTTTTTTCTTTGTTTTTGCGATAACAAAATGAAACAAAACTCCTTTCTAACGAACTATTTCTAACAATTTAATGCTGTGCTTAGACTAGAAAAATACCGATTTAAAAAAATTTTTTTTTTCTTAAACTTACAGCACCGTTCACAACAAATCCTCCCCCTTGTGAATAATATAAAAAGTGCTAGAGAATCAAAAACGGGGAGAATGTCCAATATACGTGACAGTTTCCATTCGATTTAAATAAAAAGATTTCTGAAAATTATTGCTTTCGCTGTATGAAGCCCAGTCTCTAGTAACAAAACGTTTTTACCCCCTTCCCCTAAGTATACGGTACCCAGTGAGTGAAGTTCGAACTCGTTACGACCCCCTCTGTATTTTTTTTTTGTAATACATGATTTACTACTGCAACTCCAACTTCCTGGAAAATTCTTTATAGAAACATTACCTTATATTACACCTGTTTTCGCTGTTTTTTGTGCGTGGTAGATGATTGAATAAAAGATGTCTGAGATTCTCACGTAACAAAACTTCATACATCATCTTTTGATTTCTCCGATAGACTTGTTGTTGAAATAATATTTTCTATTCCTGTAACTTTGTTCAATATCCCGACACTACACCCCGGGTAATATATTGAACAGTCAACAACAGGGACTTGCGCAAATTCTCGTTTGTACTTTTTTTCATACTCACAAAAAAAAATGGCAAATGTATTTCTGAAGTCAGTCGGGGCGGGGGAGAATGTTAAATTCTTTTTTTTTTCCTTTTAAAAAATCTTTTTACATGAAAAATGTTTCTATTCTTTCTAGGGATAGGGTGGTCCGAAAGTCTTGTTACCCCTACATAATTTTCTATTTCAGACGGCTGACACTAGCTCCTACGGGGTCTAAAAATGTTAAATTTCGCTGTAAACTTTACATTCCATACGAGATGTTATCGGCTTTTTTTTTTTTTAAATAATTGAATTAAAATTCGTTATTGACGAATAATAAAAGTTCAATTTTCACTTTATGCGTGCTCGTCTGACTCCTGTTCTGCACTCTTCTTCTTTGAAGGCTCAAAAATAGTTTAGTTAAGGATGGTCCGAAAGTCTCGTCACCCCACATAATATTTTTCTGTTTCAGATGGCAGAAGTTCCTTCCAGGCGAGGCTATGCCGAAGGGCAGTCTCTCGTCTGGGTCGGTAGACAAACCCGACCCCGTGTATACGGGGTCTAAAGGCAACTTTTATCCGAGCCTACAGGCTCGGGAAACCCCATGTTTAAAATTGGCCTTGTGCCACCCCCTGCCTTGTGGAGAGGTTGGGTATGGGTAAATACCTTAAAAGGGGGGTAGGGGTGGCAAGACTTTCGAGATAGCCTGTACATTTTTTTTCACATTAAACCTGAAACGAAAAATCTTTATCGTAAATTTCGAAAGAATTCCTTGCTTAAAAAAGCAAAAATAAAATCCCTTTAAAGTCCAAAATTATATTTTTTTTTTTTTTTTTTTTTTTTACTTATCGTTTGCACGTTTTTTCGCTTTTTAAACTTTAATTTCTGGATTTATTTGCCAGTAGGCAAATGGAACTGAACTGGTGATGAAGCCATAACATATTCAGATTTTCATTTACAGAAAATAGTAAAACCCAAGGCAATTCTTGTGGTATGGTAACTAATTACTACTATGAAGATTCTTTATAGTACTAATCAGTTATGTCATTGAAGAATCTAACAAACTATAATCTCTAAATACAACAATGAATTTGTATGTAGTTTCTTGAACTTTCTTTAACATTTCAAAATTCCTGTTTTTTGTTTTTTTGTTACTAATAAAATGGGGAGGGGACACCAGTATTTCTAAGAAGCAGTCGGTAAGACTAGTAACAAATTTTCGAAACTGTTTTTATTATATAACAAGTTGATTTAACTGTTTTTATTATATAACAAGTGGATTTTTTTCACGTTGATACCGATTGTGACTAGGTTTAAAATGGGTTTACTTTAAATACAGTGGAAAAATTATTCAAGTCCTCTCGGCATTTCCCGTTTTGTAGACTCATCAGGTGCCCGATGATGACCAAACCACCCCATTGAAGGAAAGGTACTGCCTGGGGCTTGAGCGTATTTGAAATTACCCAGCCGAAGCCAAGCAAGAACCATGTCAGCTAAAATAATCACCCTTTTCTCTTCCCTGTTATTTTATTTATTTATTTTTTTAATTCAGTAGGTTTCACTCTACACAAGGCCCGGGGCCACTCGAGGTAGAGGTCTACGTTAGGGGGTAGTTTATATGGATAGGAAGGTAAGATAACGATTAGATTTGAAGATTGTCGTGATCAGAGGGAAACATTCTCTTGGGAATCTTTTCCATAGGGCAGTGGTTCACGGGAAGAAGCTGTTTGAGTGGAACTTACTTCTCGCCGATGGAATATGGAGGGAATGTGGGTGGTTTGTTACTATGTAAGTGGCATGGCGGGTCCTGGCCGTAAAGGTCAAACTTGATGGAACCAGGAGATGCAGTTCATCTGAGCACTTTCCATGGTCGTAGCGATACAGCAATGAGAAACTTGCTACATCCCATCTGTGAAAGAGAGGTTGGAGAGTGGAAAATTCTTCTTCTCCAGCAAGGATCCTGAGACGCTTTTGAACTCTATCAAGACAGTAAAGTGAGGTCTAGGTAGCTCCTACCCATATAATGCAACAGTCCTCCATTTGCGCCCTGATCTGGCCTTTATAAAAGTAGAGGATAGCATGAGGAGTCAGGCACTTACTGGAGCGATACAGGAAGCTGATCAATTTACCTGCCTCTTTTAGCGATGGATAGTATATACAGGAATTCCACTTGAGGTCAGGTATGAGTTTAAGGACTCAATATCCTCTCAAGGCACGTAGCCTCCTCGAGGAGACATCCGTTCATCGTGACTGGCAGTAGTTCGATGTGATGGAATGTAACCGATTTGGTTTTAGAGGCATTGAACCTAACCAGCCAGTTTTTCCCAACTGGGGAAGTTAGTGTTAGATACTGAAGAGAGGTCAGTTACCTATATTTGACCGTCAAGACTTTGAGAGGTGCGCCCGTATATCGTATCATCAGCATATACGTTTACAAATGAGCCGGATATATTCTTAGGTAGATCATTCATGTAAATCTGAAAGAGAATTGGTCCGAGAAGTGACCCCTGAGGGAAGCCTGCGTTAACCGCCAGGGCCTCAGAGGACTGGCCGTTAATAACTAACTTCAGCGAATTACCTGTTAGGAAGGATTTTATAATAGAGAAAACACTTCCAGTAATTCCATAGCCGGAGAGCTTGTGCAGCAAACTTTCGTTCCACACTTTGTCGAAGGCCTTCGAGATGTCGAATGGTGTAGTCCTTACGGTAAGTCTGTCATCAAGAGACTCTCTAATTCTGTGTATAGTGGTAATTAGGATATCAACAGTGGATCGAACTGATCGAAATCCATACTGCTCGTCGCACAAAAGGTTGTTCCTATCCAGGTGCTCTTCTTGTTGAAGGCTTACTCAAAAAGCTTACTGAGGAGACTAATGGGTCTATACTGGGAGAAGGGGGAGGATCGGTTGCCCGCGTTCTTGAAGTAACTCTTGCCTCTTCTCCATTCCTGTTTGTCTTTTTAGCTCTTGATTTACCACCCATTCACTCACACTCGTCAAATAGGTTACTCTCTTCGCCCCGCCCTTACTTTTCTTTCTTCCCCCACCTTCTTTCTCTCTCCCCCAGTATACTATATGAGCGTTAAAATTTCCAACCCCTTTTTTTTTTTTGTTTTTTTGAGAATTTGGTATTCTGTTCCAGAAAGACCAGTCCTCTTTCTTTTTTTATTGTTAGCAAAAGTTTCGTTGTATTTCCTGTTCCTCTTAAAATTTCATCTCTGAGTCTCTTCATTTTCAAGGAGATTGTCTAATATTTCACTGCTACATATTTCAGTACCCTTCTTTGACATTTTCTTATCTCTTAATACTTAGTTTTTAAAAAGCATCTTTCGCTTTTCCTATATGCCTTCCATTTTCTGTTTCATTTTCCTTTTATTTGTTACTGTACAATTCGATTTTTCTGCTTGATTTTGGGTTGGGGGACATCAAAATCACAAGTTCGAATTCCAGTCGCGTTTGTTGCATTTACTTATGTGCAAATACTTTTGGGAAATGTATAAATCTCTCCCCCCATTTATGGGTTAAATAGTAAGACTTGTATCTGAAAAACTATTCTTACAATCCAAAATGTTTGTTTTAAATAACCACCAGAGCTTTAACAAGCCGTAAAAAAGTCAACCAATTAACTTCTAGTCTTAGAATTGTCTGTGTATTAAACTCGTTGAATATCTGCAATATTGTTCCCAGTAAAGATTACGTGTTACTCTAATATTGTTTCCCGTGTGAATCAAGTGTGTGTGTGTTTTTTTTACTAATATTTCGGGGATGGATTTTATCTTACCCTATCAAATTTTATTTTTATCCTATAAAACACACACACACATATATATATATATATATATATATATATATATATATATATATATATATATATATATATATGCTGTAAGAGCGTAATTTATTCTGATTGCATTTCTTGTTCCAGTGTCTTGAATAAAGCC